AAAAAAAAAACAAGAAGCAAACACACAGAGAGCTACCATTCACTATTCTCTTTCTACACTCCAGGCACTATGGGAAGAACTTTTGGGAATTATCTCCTTAAGCCCTCCTAACTCACAGAAGTGATCCAGATGAGATGTCAACCTCATGGTCTTTCCAACCTCCTAATGGTGGCTTGCCTGGGCTGTCTGGGTCCTTTCTGTCCATACTCAGTCCCGTGGCTTTAAACACCATCTTTATGCTAAAAATGCTCAGACTGATATTTACAGCCTGGCCCCTTCCCTACACTCCAGCCTCGAATCTCTGTCTGCCCGATATCACTTCCTGAATATCTCACAGGCACCTTAAACCTCACTCATCCAAAAGGGAATTTTCTGTTTACTTCTTAGACCTGCTCCGGCCCCAGCCATCACCATCTCAGGAAAACACAAGGTGATTGTTCCACCTGTGTGAGCCCCAAATCCTGGAGTCATCTTTGACTCCTCTCCTTCATTTAACCCTAAAGCCAACTGCTGGGCAAACTGTGTCCACTGGGCCTTCAGACTTTGTGAATATGACCACCTCTCCCACCACCATCACCTCCTGCCTGGACTGCTGCAGTAGCCCTCCACTGGGTTAAACGATGTTCTCCAAAATGCCAAACCCACCCAGAACCTCAGAATGTGACCTTATTTGGAAACAGGATCTTTACACATGTAATTAGTTAAGATAAGGTCATACAGGATTGAGGGAGCCTAAATATAATGATTCATGTCCTTAGGAAGAGAGAACACAGAGGAAAAGGCCACATGAAGGTGGAAGCTTAGATCAGAAATATGCACCACAAGCCAAGGAATGCCTGAGGCCACTGGAAGCTTAACAAGGAAAGATAGGATCCTTCCCTAGAGCTGTCAGAGGGGGCACAGTCCTGCCGACACTTTGATTTTAGATTTCTGGTCTCCAAAACTGTGAGAGAATAAAAGTTGTTTTAAGCCACCCGGTTTGTGGTCATTGTTACTGCAGCTCCAGCAAATGTATCTGAGCCCCCTCTCTGGCCCCTTGCTTCTACCCT